AGAGGGAGCCTGGGAGATTTTCAGGGGTCTCTGAGTGCCAGCCGAGGCTGGAGTGAAGGCTGGTGAGGTGGGTGATGGGAGCTGAGGGGTCCGGAGGGGCCGGGGTGCGCCAGGCTCTCGCGAGCATGCTGGCCCTACAGGGAGCCACAGAGTGAAAGGCCCCTGCTGTCCTGGCCGGCAGGTGGCCAAGGCAGGAAAGAGGGGGCAGGAGGCCGGGGCCTGGGGCAGCCCTAGGGAGGGGCCAGGGGCGAGCAGCCAGGCTGTGACACAGGAGGGTGTGGAGTGAGGCTCAGGGCTACACCCAGAGGCGGGGGGCAATGGGTTCCCACTCCCCACCCCGTGGCGTGGACATTTGGAAGAGAAGTGGGTCTGGGCTTGACTCTGGGGCTGGCGAGAACACCAGAGGAAGGCACCAGAGCTGTGGGTCCCCTGGCTCCAGAGCTCGGCGGTCGGGTGCGAGGAGTGGGGCGGGGGCACTGTCGCTGTGGCTCGGCTGGGCTGGGCGGGCTGGGGCGGGAGAGGGTGGTCCCCCAGGAGCAGCCCTCGCCTCTTGCCCTGGCCCCACAGGATGTCCTGTGTTTACTGAGGTGGCCTTGGCTGGAACCGGGACACTGGTGCCACCCCCTGAACTCCGCTTCCCGTGGCCACACCCCCTGGTGTGAAGGAAAGCAAGATGGACGGAGAGACCCAGCGCTCAGGACCCAAACCAACCGCAGTGCAGACTGGGAAGGGGAGCTGCTCCAGGCCGTCTGGGAAAACCAACAACCAGCATCTCACTTCACGGGGGTGGGGCTGGCCCTCTGACCTCTGACCTCTGACCTCTGCCAGCCAGCCCTGGGGCTCAGCCGCCTCCCAGTTTTACAGGCTCACAGGTGTAGCTCGACTTCGTCCCTTCCACAGAACCCAGGCCCCTCCGTGCGACGTCCCTGTCGCCCTGGTGACCCGCTGACCGCTGCCCCCCACTCCGCTTCTCCCTCACGCTGCCCCCTCTGCCTGAAACGCACTCCTGTTCATTTGCCACCCGTGGCTTCGCACTGACTCCTGTGTATCCCTTCAGCTGTCAGCTCGTGGCCGCCGCCGCCTCAGGGAAGCCCTCCCTGACCGCTCTTCCTAGGCCTGGGGCTGTGATTTCGCCCGTCCCAACCCTCACCCCCGGGACTGTGGGCTCCCCGGCTTCCCCCTGGCCCTTTGGGCCCCTTCTGCACCTCCTCCGGTACCTTCCCGTTTGACTTCAGATGTCACTTCCTGCAGGATTCCTTCCCCGAGCCGGCCCCCTGGGTGGATGCCCTGCCCGCGTGGAACCTGCTGCTGCAAGGGCTTTGCAGTGCTTGTTGACAGGAAATGAACAAGTGACCGTGCGGGCGCATCGGGCGGGAGTCCGAGGCTGCAGTGGTCCTGGGAGCAGGGTGCTGCCTGGCTTCCGGCCACACCCCAGCCCCTGGCGGCTGCCAGCCCTGGAGGCCATTTCCCCGAGCTCAGCACATTCCTGCCTTCGCCGGTGCCCAGGAGTGGGCAGGGGGCATTTCAGAGAGAAAGGAGGGAAGGCCCCCAGCATTCCAGGCTCCTGCTCTCCTGCTCCTGGTCCCCTGTGCCCTCTGCATGGGGTGGGGGGTCGGGTCCCCAGAGGGGCCCCTGAGCTGGTGTGAGGGGCCAGGGGGCCGCCAGGGTGAAGGCCCGGTGTTTGCACCCGGCTGGACAATGGGGCAGAAGCTGCTGACGCGAGCTTCGGGGGTAATCTCCCGGCCCCACCCCAGCGCAGCCCCAGGCCCCGGCTCAGAGAGCCGCCGGCGTGGGAGGCAGCGGCCGGGTGGGTGTGCAGGGCATGTGGGGGTACCTGTGCTCCCTGTGCCGCCCCCCGGGGTCTGGTGAGTCAGGGCAGGCTGGGGGCCGGGCCAGGGGCTGGTCAGGGGAGGCCTGGTGGCCCTGGGGACTTGGGCAGGTCCAGGCTCAGTCGGGCTGCTGTGGATAACCAGCTGGGGTATCTTTGGGGGATGAGTCTGCCTGTCTGAGCACCTTGGTTATGGGGTGGAGGGCATGAGGGATGCGGAGGGGTCTCCAGGGCTCAGGAGAAATGGGCCGGCCCCACCGCCCTGCAGCCATGGAGCTGGAGCTGCGCAAGAGCCCCCACAGATGACAGCCCCACTAAACAGAGAAACAGGGCCCCCCACGCCCAGCCCCACAAACAAGGGGTCGTGAGGTTCAGGCAGTCTGGCTACTCCCATTTTGGAGATGGACAAACTGAGACCCAGAGAACAACTGTGATTTGCCCAAGGTCCCTGGGGCGGGAGTGGCTGAGCTGGCATCTAAACCCAGGTGGACAGAGGGAAGTGGGGGGAGGGGTTTCTCCTGGGGGCTCCAGGAAGCACTGGGGCCGTGTCCGGGTCTGGGGACTCAGAGTGGGGGCTGAGTCTCCAGGTGGGGGTGGCAACGGGAGACCCCTGAAGCAAGAAGTGGGGTGGAGGTCGCGGCCCAGCAGGGCAGAGGCGGCCTCGTGGCCCCCACGCCCTTGCGGATGGGAGAAGGGGATGTTTGTTTCCCCACCACCCACCCTCTCATGACGTCATCTGTCGGCAGCCAATGGCTGGGGTCTCCCCTCCTCCCCCTCCCCATTCCTTTTCCCCCCCAGCCTTGGGCCGGGCTGAGCAGACGGACCCGGGAGCTCTCGAGGTGTCTGGAGGCCCAGCGGTAAGGGATCAGCCCTCAGGTCTCCTCTCTGGCCAGGCTGAGAAGCCGCTGGAATGAGACCTGTCCAGGGTCCTGCGAGGTGCTGGGAGGGGGCCCGGGGCCCGGGGGGGGGGGCAGAGTAATAGAGGAGCTAAAGGCACCGACTTTGGAGCCAACCCCCTCTTTCTGGCTGTGCTGCCCTGGTCCAGACTGGACTGTCTGTGCCTCTACTTTCCTATCTCTAAAGTGGGCTGATGGAAGTCACCTCACAGGACTGGCAGGAGAGTACATTGCTGGTGTAGGATACTGTGCATAGGCCAGGCTTCCTGGCTTCTGGGGTGGGGGGAGTGCTGGTGCCTGAGCTGTATTTTGTCGCTTGCTCAGAGTGCCCCTTTGGCTGGGGGACGAGTGGGGACCGTTGGGGAGCAAGGGCTGCGTGTGAGACACTGAGGGCCCCGCAGCCCCACTTTCCCTCGTGCTGTTAGGGACCAGTCTGCATGAATGGAGCACGTGCTGGGTGTACGGGCGATGCCCTAGGTGCTACTGTTGTCTCACACATTCCCAAAGCGCCTCTGATGGCTCCATTTCACAGATGGAGAAAGTGAGGCCCCAGGAGTGAAGGACCCTTGCCCAAGTACTCACACCTGGGAAGCGCTGGAGCAGGGACTGAGGCAGCCAGGGGCCACCACCCTAACACCCCCCACCCCCCATCCCACGACGTGGCCTCGGAGCATGTCCAGGGGCCGTTGCTAACTGGAAGTAGGGGAAGTCCGGGCTCTGGGTGGGCTGGCAGCAGCCACCAAAGGAGAGGGCCTCAGCAGGTCCTGGTTCGGTCTGGGGCCCAAATGACAAGCCCGGGCTCCCGGCCACTTGGAAGGGCATGAGTCACCCCTCGGATGGGCGGCTGAGTCGCACCTAAGCTCCTGAGTCCAGGCAAACAGGGACTCGGAGGATTCTGGAAGCTCAGGCAGGTAGCAGGGCAGGGGCTGATCCGCCCCCCCCACAGGTCAGGACCCCTGGGAGCACCCCCAGCCCTCCTTCCGCTGCCTGCTGGGACGGGCACAGCTGGGAACAGGGAGTGCCCGGGGTGGGGGGTTTCCTTCCGAAGCCGCCCTTCCCCCTCCCCAGGAGCTGGGTGCGTGGCTCAGGAAGGGCACAGCTGGGCTAAATATAACCTGGGCTGGGCGGCTGTCCCAGGCAGGGACACGGAAGGAGGGCACCGTCCTGCCCCTGCCTCCGGGCTTCCCGTGCCAGGCCCTGGGTGCCATCTGCACTGCCTGGGCCTGGAGCCTGGGGCCCAGGAGACGCTCCCTGCTGTCCCCAGTGCCCCCTACCAGGCTCCGGCTTCTCCCACCCTCCGTGTAGCAAGCCAGGGTTCTGGGACTCAGACTTGGCTTTTCCGCCCGGGGTCAGCTCCTGTCCCCACTGTGTGTCACCGTGACGGCCTTTCTCTTAACTCTCATTGACTCTGGCAAAACGGAGGCCCTGGGACACAAGTCTGCCAGGCCTAGCACCAGCGAGGTCCCTCCTGGTGTCCATGACCGTGGCCTCCAGCCCAGCCTAGCTCCTGCTTCAGCTGTTGTGCAGTTGGGGCTCCCCAGGGTCAGAGCCACCACCCGTGCCGGTTAAGGCTGAAGGACCCTGGACAGAGCACTTACACCCCCCCCCAGCCTTGGTTCCTGCCCCCACATCCCAGGGTGATTTAGGGTGATTTTGAGGCCGATCTGCGCCAGGCTCAGACACAGGAGTCAGCCTGGGAGAGGTCGGGGCCAGGGTCTCAGGGGAAGGAGATGGAGACCAGGACTCCTGGAGATCCAGAGGGGAGCCCTGCGATGCTGGAGGGGGTCGGCGTGCCCCCAGCCCGGGCCCGTGGCGGGATATGAAGGGCCATTGTGTGGCCGCGGGTGGGTGGGCAGGGGCGGAATGCGAGCGGGCGCAAGGGAATGCGCCGCGTGAGGCCTGACCTTTCCCTGCACAAGGGGGCGGCGGCGTGGCATGCCAGGTGGGGGCTGAGGGGCTGGCCTAGAATCTGGGCCGGGCGGGGGGGGGGGCTGGGGAGCCACATCCACAACCCCTCCCCCGAAGGGCCTGGCAGGGGGCTGCGTGTATGTCTCAGCTCTGCTTCCTAAGCAAGTTCTTTGGGCCTCTCTGAGAGCCCGGAGCAAACAATAACTTCTCCATACCACCTTATCAGGAGCTGGACTTCGGTCAAGTTCGAGGGCTGGCTTGGCCCTCTGTCACCTGGGCAGATGACTCTCCTTCCCCTGGCCTCAGGTGTCATCTGCGCAATGGGCTCAGTGAGTCCTGATTTCACAAGGCCATTCTGAGGTCCATGTGCAACCTGCGGCCCCTGGGGGGCACTCGTCCCAAGGCCAGGTTCATGGGAAATTCTCGGTGATAGAAGCAGAAGAGCAGGTGCTCGGACAGCCCCTTACACTCATTCCCACACTAAATCCTCCCGACAGCCCTGTGGGCTCGGTGCTCTTCGTCTACCCGAGGCAGGCAGCGGGCAGGGGACTGGGGAGTGGTTCTGATTGTCTCATAGTGAACTTGGCTCATGTCGTTCTCCTAGAGCCCCGGACCCAGGAGGCACAAAGAGCCCGAGGTGACCCCCAGGTGAGAGCCCCGGCTGGTGCCACGCGCCCCTCCACCCCTCCGCCCGGCCTGGAGCCTCACCCTCGGTTTCTCCCCGGCAGGCAGCGAGACCCCCGCGGAAGGGCGCGAGACCTGCGGAGAGCTGCGCGGCCCCTCCGGCTGGGCTCCTGCTAGGAGGGAGCACCTGTGCTCGGGTGGCGGTGAGAGGACAGCCGGCAGCCGGGTGGGGGGCGCGGACACCCACCCCCTCCAGGCCTCAACCTCCATCCCCACCCCGCAGGCTCAGAGGCAGCTGCTCCATGCAGAGCTGAAGCTGGTCTTACAGCAGAAGGGGCAGAGGAAGCAGGAGCCGGGGGCCCCGGTGACTGCCAGCGGCGCCATGGAGGCCAGGAGCCGGAGTGCTGAGGTGAGCGGCCTGCCGGGGGCCCGGCCAGGGCAGCAAGGGCGCACTTCCTGGCCTCTCGGCGCCCAGTCCCCTTGTCCGTAGAATGGTAGGAGCAGCAGGCCCTACTTCGTGGGTCGCTGTGCAGGGCCGGGACGAACAGGTAAAGTGCTCCGCACGGCGTCTGGCACGGATGGGCTCGAGACAGCCGACGCACCGGAGCAGCGAGGAGTGGAATTAACAGGAGCTAACGAGGGGCCGGTGCTTGGTGCTGCTGCCTCCTCCGCTTCTGCTTCAGCTCCCTGGGAAGGCGGCGCAGGGTGGCCCAAGTGGCCACCACGTGGGAGACTAGGAAGGAGTTCATGGTTTCCGGGTCTGGCCTGGCTACTGAGGCCGTTTGAGGAGTGAACCAGCAGGTGGAAGATCTCTGCTTCTGTCTCGCTCTGCCTTTCTTTTTCTTTTCTTTTTTTCTTCTTTTTTTCTTTTTTTTTTTGACAGGCAGAGTGGACAATGAGAGAGAGAGACAGAGAGAAAGGTCTTCCTTTTTGCTGTTGGTTCACCCTCCAATGGCCGCCGCTGCCGGCGCACCGCGCTGATCCGATGGCAGGAGCCAGGTGCTTCTCCTGGTCTCCCATGGGGTGCAGGGCCCAAGGACCTGGGCCATCCTCCACTGCACTCCCTGGCCACAGCAGAGAGCTGGCCTGGAAGAGGGGCAACCGGGACAGAATCCGGCGCCCCGACCGGGACTAGAACCCGGTGTGCCGGCGCCGCAAGGCGGAGGATTAGCCTAGTGAGCCGCGGCGCTGGCCTCGCTCTGCCTTTCAAATAGATGAATATGAGTCTTAAAATGAGCTCAAGAAAGCGCAGCAGGAGCCCTCAGCAGGAAGGGCAGGCAGTGTAGTGCAGGGGCTCAGGACACGCGCTGAGACCCCCAGCCGGCCTCCTGCCGCGCAGCCCTGGGCAGGTGGGCTCCCCGCTCTGGGGCTCCGGCCTCCATGGTCGCCGCCTTGGAGGGCTCTGCGGACCCACACTTGGGCCAGTGCTGAGCCTGGCCCCGAGGGGGCTGTCACTGCTGTGGGGACAGCACTGGCACTGGCTGTCCAGGCACACCAGGTGCCCGATTTTACAGGAGCCACGCTGAGGGTGGTGGTGGCAGACAAGGGCCGGGGGAGCACAAGGTCACCGCCCACCCGCAGGACGGCCCTCGGATGCTGGGGTCATGGACCTGCCAGGTCACCTCGCTGTGTGGCGTCAGGCCAGCTGCTTCCTGTCCTGCTCTGACTGCTCAGGCTCAACCCAGGGCCTCAGCCAAGGGTGACAGAGGACGCCATGCCGGCCCTGCAGCCCTTACCACAGCTCTTCTTTATAAACATCTGTTTATTTTCATTTACTTGAAAGGCAGAGAGGCAGGCACACAGGAGAGATCTCCATCCACGGATTCACTCTGTCGATGCCCACAACGGCCAGGGCTGGGGCCAAGCCAAAGCCGGGAGCTGGCTGTTTAATCAGGGTCTCCCCCTCGAGTGGCAGGGACCTGGGTACGTGAGCCATCACTGCTGTCCCCGTTAGCAGGAAGCTGGGATGGGAAACTGGGCTGGGACGTGAGCCCAGGCGCTGAGACGGGATGCAGGCGTGCCAGACGGTCTCAGGCCCCAGTCCCGTGGAGCCACTGCTGGGGGTGGGGCATCTGCCATTCCCCGGTCAAGCCCTGGGCTCAGGTCACCGTGCTGGCCTCTGCGCCCTCCCCACTGCAGCTGCCCCTGAGTTGTCTGCTGCTTCAGGTCGTAGGTCACAGTCAGAGACTCCTTCCAGCGTTACGCACTTTACAGCAAGGGTCATGGGCCCTTGCTGGAGACACCTAGCACACCGGACCCCTAGACAGAAGGGCCTGGGTTTCCCACTGCCCCTTCTGGGAAGTCCATTGTGAGTCCCACAGGGTGCTGCTGGGCCAAGGCCAAGGCCAGCCCGCACCACCTACAGCAAATGCCAGGAACGCTACCACCCGCGACCCATGCACCCCCTGCCACTGGATTCCCTCTCTTGTGGGCGTTATGCAGGTCTTGGGGTCACAGAGCCCACAACACAGCACCCAGTCTCACGCACATTCCAGCCTGCAGGGAGGCGACTCCTATCCCACACCACCTGAGCCCATTCCTAGAGTCCATCCTCAACCTCGCCCCTTGTCCTGCCCTTGGAATTTGGGTCTTTGCCCCAGCTCCGGAGTCACTGCTATAAACTCCCTCCACGCCCGTTTCCTATGCCCGGCCCCTTAAAGAACCAGCACTCTTCTGGTTCTCCTATACTCCACGGGGCCCCACCCCCCGGGCCGCCCCGCCCACCGCCCCGGCCCCGCCCCCGGGGCCACTCAAACCGAGATTCCCTCTACCGCGCCCCTCCCCCTACACCCTCAGCCCCGCCCTTCCCGCGGCAGCCTCGGGGGCTCTGCCTTGCTGCTCCAGGCGAGATGCCGGAGGCGCGGGTCCCGACGCCTGGCCTGGGCCGTGCCGAGGGGCACGTGCCTCGAGGGCCCGTTGAAGAGCCGCTTTTCAGCGCGATGGCGGGCTCGGGGGGAGGCCCGGCCCCGGCGCCCTGTGGCGACCTGTCGCTGCCCCCCGCAGGAGCTGAGGCGGGCGGAGCTGGTGGAGATCATTGTGGAGACAGAGGCGCAGACCGGAGTCAGCGGCATCAACGTCGCGGGAGGCGGCAAAGAAGGAATCTTCGTCCGCGACCTGCGCGCGGATTCCCCGGCCGCCAGGAGCCTCAGCCTGCAGGAAGGTGGGCGGGGCCGGGCTGGGGGCGGGGCCGAGCTACGGGGGCGGAGTGAGGCGGGAGCGGGCGGGCGTGTGTGGGCGTGGCCTGCGGCCGGAAGGCAGGGAGCGGGCTGGGGGCGGGGCCGAGGACTGTCGCGGCCCGGAGTGGGGCGGGGACGGAAGGGGGTGTGTGGGCGTGGCCGGGGGCCGGACGGCGTGGGGGCGGGCTGGAGGCGGGGCCTGGTAACGGGGGCGGGGCCTGGGATCTGCCGTCGGCCCGGAGGGGAGCGGACGGGGGTGTGTGGGCGTGGCCGGCGGCCTGAAGGCTTGGGGCAGGCTGGGGGCGGGGCTTTGTTGGCGCTCAGGCTGGAGCGCGCTCTGGAGGGTGATTGCCTGGCTTGCACCCCGAGATCCCCCGTTTTCTAGCTCCAGTGCCTCAGTTTCCTCTCTAAAGTGGGAAGAACTCTGGTCCTGACCTCGTGGGGTTATTATGTAGATTACATGAGTCAGTATTTGAAAGCAGTGCATAGCTCGAGGGCACAGAGCGAGCCCTATGTTGAGTGCTAAGTTGCTGCTTTTGTGGTTGGCGCAGGATTGGAGAGGGGAGCTTTAGTAAGTGATGAAGCTGATGCGATTTATTCCTGCAGCCAGTATTTATTAAGCGCCTTCTCTTTTAGACGTTATCGTTGGTGCTTGGGCTACAGCAGCCAACAAAACAGACACCAGTCCCTGCGCTTTTGGTTACATTCTGGTGGGGAGAGAGAGAGAGGTTTAAACAAAGTAAGTCAGGTGACGAGTAAGAAAGGCATAGGTGCTCCAGCCCCAGGAGCGTGGGCTGCAGGAGATAAGGGAGCAGGCTGTGTGGACCTCAGGAAGAGGCTCCGGCAGGCCCGGGCGCCCAGCGAGGAAGCCACTGGCGGTGTAGTCGCTAGTGACCAGGAGGGGGAAGCAGGAGGAAGGGCGACTTCTCCAGGACTTTAACGGCAGTGCTGAGGGCTTGGGGTTTTGTTCTGGGAGGGCTGCTGGGTTAGTGGTGGACTGCAGGGGTTGGGGCTGGGTCAGAGACCCACAAAGCGGCCACGGTGATGGTCCCACAAAATGACGCTCGGGACTGGCCTTGGAGGTGACAAGAAGGATGTGGATTCTGGACAGACTTTGGCGGCAGAGACTTCAGGACAGCATATGAGATGTGATGAAGACAGCCGTCAAGGAAGCATCCGGGGAATTAAAAAGAGAGATTTTATCTGTTTATTTGAAAGGCGTAGTGACAGAAAGAGAAAGAGACAGGGGGAGAAAGAGATCTTCCATCTCCTTCAGGCACTCTGGGTTGGACCAAGCTGAAGCTGGGAGCTGGACACTCCATCCGAGTCTCCCACGTCGGTGGCAGGGGCCCAAGCACTCGGGCCATCTTCTGCTGCTTTCCCAGGCGCACGTTAGCAGGGAGTCAGCTACATGGGTAGCGGAGCAGCCTGGACTGAAACAGGCGCTCAGATGTGGGATGCTGGCGTCACAGATGGCGACTTTGCCGGCTGCACATGGCCAACATGCAGGGAGTGTTGACCCCGAGAATGGAGCTGCCCGTCCCCACTTGTGGGGACGCTGGGATGCGCGCTCTGGAGAAAGATGCCCACTGCCTGCCCCTCCCCCTCGCCCGCAGGGGACCAGCTGTTGAGCGCCCGCGTGTTCTTTGAGAATGTCAAGTATGAGGACGCACTGCGCCTGCTCCAATGTGCCGAACCTTACAAGGTCTCCTTCTGCCTGAAGCGCACCGTGCCCACCGGGGACCTGGCGCTGCGGCCCGGCACCGTGGCCGGCTACGAGATGAAGGGCCCGCGGGCCAAGGTGGCCAAGCTGGTACGCGTGCTTAGCCCGGCCCCGGCCCTGGATGGTCCCGGTGAGCCGGTGTCTGCGCCGTGAGCCCCACTCCCTGCCACCAGGGGCCAGCCTCGCCCTCTGTCTTGTCACTAACCAGTGCTAATCCCATCCTCTGCCCCCTGAATTCCTCCCTGGGGAGGGAAACCCACTCGCCCCACATACCAGGGCCCTCATCCCCCTGGGAGAGGCACCATCCCTAGCACTGAGGGCTTTGCCAGGAAACCGGGACCAGGGAGGCCAGGTGCTGCTTGGCTACTGCCAAGTGGCCCTGGGGAAGTTACTCCCCGTTGCTGGGCCCGGGTGCTGGGGAGCTGCGAGGCTCCACGCGTCTCTGCCTTCCCGCGCAGTGCTGGCACAATGGCAGGCGGGAGGCGGGATGTCGAGCCGACGCAGGTGCAGCCTGGTACCGCGCCAGGTGGGTCGGCGCCCGTCCACTCCCGGCCTCTCTCCTCTCTCCCCAGAACATCCAGACCCTGTCCCCTGTGAAGAAGAAGAAGATGGTGATCCCCGGGGCCCTTAGGGCCCCTGCAGACCTGGCCCCCGTTGACGTCGAGTTCTCCTTTCCCAAGTTCTCCCGTGTGCGCCGTGGTGTCCAAGCCGAGGCTGTGGAGGGTCCCGCCCCAGCAGCCCCAACGCGCCGGCGCCTCCAGCTGCCACGGCTGCGCGTGCGCGAAGTGGCCCAAGAGGCCCAGGCAGCTCGGCTGGCTGCCGCGGCTCCCCCACCCAGGAAGGCCAAGGTGGAGGCTGAGGGGGCAGCAGGAGCCCGCTTCACGGCCCCCCAGGTGGAGCTGGTTGGGCCCCGGCTGCCAGGTGCTGAGGTGGGTGTCCCGCAGGTCCCAGCTCCCAAAGCGGCCCCCTCAGCAGAGGCAGCCAGCGGCTTTGCCCTCCTGCCAACCCTTGGCCTGGGAGCCCCAGCTGCACCTGCTGTGGAGCCTCCGGCTGTGGGGCTCCAGGTCCCCCAGGTGGAGCTGCCCACCTTGCCCTCCCTGCCCACTCTGCCCACACTTCCTTGCCTGGAGGCCCGGGAAGGGGTTGCAGCAGTGACCGTGCCCACCTTGGATGTGGCGGCACCTGCTGTGGGTGTGGACCTGGCCTTGCCAGGTGCAGAGGTGGAGGCCCGGGGAGAGCCGCCTGAGGTGGCCCTGAAGATGCCCCGCCTCAGTTTCCCCCGCTTTGGGGCTCGAGCGAAGGACGTGGCCGAGGCCAAGGTGGCTAAGGGCAGCCCGGAGGCCAAGCCGAAGGGGCCCAGACTTCGAATGCCCACCTTTGGGCTTTCCCTCCTGGAACCCCGGGCTGCTGCTCCTGAAGCCGCCGTCGAAAGCAAGCTGAAGCTGCCCACCCTCAAGATGCCCACCCTCGGCATCGGGGTGTCGGGGCCCGAGGTCAAGGTGCCCAAGGCGCCTGAAATGAAGCTCCCCAAGGTGCCCGAGGTGGCCGTGCCCGAGGTGCGCCTCCCGGAGGTGCAGCTGCCAAAGGTGTCAGAGATGAAGCTCCCCAAGGTGCCCGAGGTGGCCGTGCCCGAGGTGCGCCTCCCGGAAGTGCAGGTGGCGAGAGGTTCCAGAAATGAAACTTTCCAGAGATGAAGCTCCCCAAGGTGCCCGAGGTGGCCGTGCCCGAGGTGCGCCTCCCGGAAGTGCAGTTGCCGAAAGTTCCAGAAATGAAACTTCCAGAAATGAAACTCCCCAAGGTGCCCGAGGTGGCCGTGCCCGAGGTGCGCCTCCCGGAAGTGCAGCTGCCAAAGGTGTCAGAGATGAAGCTCCCCAAGATGCCCGAGGTGGCCGTGCCCGAGGTGCGCCTCCCGGAGGTGCAGCTCCCCAAAGTTCCAGAAATGAAACTTCCAGAAATGAAGCTCCCCAAGGTGCCCGAGGTGGCGGTGCCCGAGGTGCGCCTTCCGGAGGTGCAGCTGCCAAAGGTGTCAGAGATGAAGCTCCCCAAGATGCCCGAGGTGGCCGTGCCTGACCTGCACCTCCCAGAGGTGCAGCTGCCAAAGGTTCCAGAAATGAAACTTCCAGAGATGAAGCTCCCCAAGGTGCCCGAGGTGGCCGTGCCCGAGGTGCGCCTCCCGGAGGTGCAGCTGCCGAAGGTGTCAGAGATGAAGCTCCCCAAGGTGCCCGAGGTGGCCGTCCCGGAGGTGTGTCTTCCACAGCCCCCACAGGTGGAGCTGCCCCAGGCCCCAGGGGTGCAGCTGAAAGCTGCCAGGCCAGAGCAGGCAGAAGGGATGGAATCTGGCTTCCGGATGCCCAAGCTGGGGAGGGCAGAGTCCCCGACGCGAGGGAAGCCGGCCGAGGCAGGTGCCCGGCTTTCAGGGCCGCTGCTGGGGCTGCCCTGTCTGCAGCCGGAGGTGGGCGGAGAGGCTCGTGCGGGTGCCCCCTCGCTCACTCTGCCCTCGGTGGAGCTGGACCTGCCGGGGGCCCTCAGCCTGAAGGCGCCTCCCCAAGCCGAGCAGCCAGAGGGCGCCAGGGTGGTCGGCGAGGCGGGCTTCCGGGTGCCCTCTGTGGAGCTTGTTGCCCCGCAGCTGCCCGTGGCCGAGGCTGAGGAAGGGCGTCCAGAGGCGATGGAGATGAAAGCCAAGCCCTCCTCCAGGTTCTCCCTGCCCAAGTTTGGACTCTCGGGGCCAAAGGTGGCCAAGGTGGAGGCTGAGGGGGCGGGGCGCGCCTCCAAGCTGAAAGTGTCCAAGTTCGCCATCTCCCTCCCCAAGGCTCGGGCGGGCACCGAGGCTGAGGCCAAAGGTGCCGGCGAGGCAGGCCTGCTGCCCGCCCTCGATCTGTCCATCCCGCAGCTCGGCCTGGACGGCCGACCGCCAGAGAGCAAGGTGGAGGTGGCAGGGGCTGACGGCAAGCTCAAAGGGTCCAGGTTTGCTCTGCCCAAGTTTGGGGTGAGAGGCCGGGACACCGAGGCAGGAGAACTAGCGCCGGGCGTGGTGGACCTGGAGGCCAAGGGCTGGGGCTGGGACGGGAAGGTGAAGGTGCCCAGGCTGAGGATGCCGTCCTTCGGGCTGGCTCGAGGCAAGGAGGCCGAAGCCCAGGGTGGGCGTGGTGGCCCCGGGGAAAAGCCAGAGTCCATTGCTGGGCAGCTCAAGATCCCTGAGGTGGAGCTGGTCACCCTGGGGGCCCAGGAGGCAGCAGGGACAGAAGGGGCAGTGGCTGTCCCTGGAATGTCTGTGACCACGACCAAGCAGGTGGTCACTGAAGGCCATGAGGGGGAGCCGAGGAGGCCCCCACTGGGCATCTCGCTGCCCCAGGTTGAGCTGACCAACTTTGGGGAGGCTCAGGCCGAGGGTACAGCCCCTTCAGCCCAGGGCACAGTAGGCCATAAGATCCAGGTGCCTCAAGTGAGCCTGGTACTCCCTGGCACCCAGGCGGCTGGTGGGGAGCTGCTGGTGGGTGAGGGCGTCTTCAAGATGCCCACCGTGACCGTGCCGCAGCTCGAGCTGGACGTGGGGCTGGGCCATGAGGTGCAGGCGGCCGAGGCAGCCACCGGCGAGGGTGGCCTGGGGCTGAAGTCGTCCACCCCGGGAGCAGGAGCCAGGGCCGAGGACCAGGCCCCAGGGGCCGAGCGCACCTTCCACCTCTCGCTGCCCGATGTGGAACTCTCGCCACCGGCCGTGGGCAGCCACGCCGAGTACCAGGTGGCAGACGGGGAGGGGGATGCGGGGCACAAACTCAAGGTGCGGCTGCCCAGGTTTGGCCTGGCGAAGGCCAGGGAGGGCGGGGAGGAGGGCGAGAAGGCCAAGAGCCCCAAGCTCAGGCTGCCCCGCGTGGGCTTCGGCCACAGTGAGACAGCCGCCACGGAGGGCTCGCCCAGCCCCGAGGAGGAGCAAGAGGAGGGTGATGGGGAAGGTGCCTCTGGTCGCAGGGGCCGGGGCAGGGTCCGCTTGCCCCGAGTGGGCCTGGCGGCCCCTCCTAGGACCCCTAGGGGACAGGATGGGGAGGCAGCATCCAAGTCCCCTGTCGGGGAGAAGTCACCCAAGTTTCGCTTCCCCAGGGTGTCCCTAAGCCCCAAGGCCAGGAGCGGGAGTGGGGACAGGGATGAGGGTGGCTTCAGGGTCCGGCTGCCCAGCGTGGGGTTTTCAGAGGCAGGGGCTCCAGGCCCCACCAGGCTGGAGGGGGCTCAGGCTGCTGCCGTCTGAAGTTCTGGGCAGATCGGGCCGCGCCTGCCGCCTGCGTTCCGGGCCGCCCACCCCATTTGTGTGTGGATAACTAGCACTAACCCTGAGACGGAGGGAGGGGGGCCGCGGAGCCGGCAGAGGCTCTGGCAGGTGCCAGGCCATGTGAATAAATAATCTGAGGTAGCCACGTGTGCTGTCTCCTGTGTGTGTGTCGGGGGGAGGTTCAGAAAAAGGAGTCCCCAGAGAGGAGGTTCTGGGATGCACTGGAGCCCAGTCTGGGGTGAAGCCTGGGTGTGAGAAGAGGCTCCGCCCAGTGGGAGGGGCCCCACGAGGCCTGCACAGTTCTCAGGGGCCTTTGAGGGGAGGAGGGCATCGCCAGGGGACCCCTCTGCTGGGGTGGGGGTGGATGCTGCCTGTCCTGAGGACCCACTCCCCCCAGGACGACTGCTCTCCACTGGTCCCCTGCTGGGGAGGGGCCCCTGTGAACCTCCCAGCCTTCCCTTTCCTGCCTGACTGGTCTGACTGCCCTGGCCACTGTGGCCGCACCCAGGAAGGCCCTCCTGGTCCCTGTCACAGGGTCACGGGTTCAGAGCCTCCGCCCCACACCCTTGCTGCCTTAGGGCCATGTCTCAGCATCCTTAGCACCTGTCAGTGCCGGGCGGTGCCTCAGCTCCCCGGATCCTGGGCCGTGCGCGTCCCCGCCCCGCGGCCTCGCCCTGGCTGCTTGCGACATCCATGCTGTGCAGTGCCAGGTCTCCCCCCATGGCCCCGCACCCACCCTCCTGCCTCAGGCAGAGGCGCCCGGCTCCTTACCCTCCAGCACCTGCTTCCTTCCTGCCAGGGCCTGCCTGCTGCCTGGAGTCCCTGCCCCATCGTACACTCGTCTCTCTCCACACTGAACATGCTGGCCATCCGTGGCAGCAGTGGCCTCTCCGTGGCCAAGTCCGTGTCGTGCCAGAGGATGTCGGCATGGCCCTTGTGCTGACTTCCCGGCCCCTTCCTCTCCTGACACCCATCCTCTCCCTCAGGGCGCCTGGGAGGCCCTTGTTCATCCCCACCCCCTCCCTGGGATGTGCCACCCTCCTCTGTGTGCTTACAACTCCCAGACTCCCTCCTGTGTCTGCCTGGGGGTGCAGCAGCCTCCAGGGCTCCCCCTAGATGTCTCCTGGGCACAAGGAGGTTGCTGGGCGTCAGAGTGGTTCAAGGTCAAAGCCTGTCCCTGGCACTCAGCTGGGTAACTTAGGAACTTTAAAATTTATATTTATTGAAAAGCAGAAAGATAGAAAGAGATCTGGCATCTGCTGGTTCACTCCCCAAATGTCCACAGCGGCTGGGGTTGTGCCAGGCCAAAGCCTGAAGCCCAGAGTTCAATCCAGGCCTCCCACATGGTTGGCAGGGACCCAAGTCCTTGAGCCATCACCTGCTGCCTCCCAGGGTATGCATTAGCAGGGAGCTGGATCAGAAGCAGAGCCAGGACTTGAACCCAGGAACCCTGATAGGGGATGAGGGCGTCCCAAGTGGCATCTTCACCCCTGTGCCAAACGCCTGCCCCACCTTGGGCACCTTTTAAACTTGTCTGTATCTTGATTTTTGTCTTCCGTAAGGTTCCCACTGGATACACGTTTAAACGCTTTAATGTTATGGATCCTATCTGACCTCAGCATCTTCATCCAGGTCCCGTCTTAGGAACCTGCCCCTCGTCCATGGCCTTGTCCTGGACGGCTTCCCCCCGGCCTCCCCACCTTCCAGGTGTCTCACTGGCCCACCAGCCCTCCACGTGCTCTCCCACCTAGGCCCTGCCCAGCTCGTCCCCAGGCTGAGTTACAGAAACAGAGGGAGAGACAGAGAGAGAAGTCTTCCTTCTGCTGGTTCACTCCCTAATGGCCACAATGGCCAGGGCTGAGCCAACCTGAAGCCAGGAGCCGGGAGCTTCCTTCAGGTTTCCACGTGGGTGCAGGGGTTGGGCCGTCCTCTGTGCTTTCCCCGGTGCGTTAGCGGGGAGCTGGGTCGGGATGCGGTGATGACTTTACCTGCTACGTCACAGCACCGCCCCCAGTCCACAGTTTCCCAACACCCGAGTCTGACCCTGCCCTCCCTTGCTCAGGGCCCTTCTGTGGCTCCCCCAGTACCTTCAGAACAAAGCCCCAACTCCTGTCTCCTGCAGGACACTTTACGTCCCAGCCACACCTCCCCCGTGACAGCCACAGGCTGGGGCAGGTGTTTTCTGAAGGCAGACACGCGCACGCACACCTCTCCCCATCATTCCCTTACACCGATGCCCACAATCAGACTCCCCTCCCCGCTGATCCCTCACCTCCCCAGCGTTCCGACGCCGGGCGGGGGAGGGGCCCAGTGTGGCACCCCACCCCCCCATTCCAGCGAGGGGCTCAGGTCTCCAACAACAGAACCAGAGCCACTCAGTAACGCTGGGGGGTCCGGGGTCCCTGGTCCCAAGCCGGGAGGGCTTCGGGGGAGGGGCGCAGGCCCTGGCAGACTTGCCGAGCGGCCCAGGAGGCTGAGGGGCGCCGTCAGGCCTGCGGGTGCCAGGGAGGTGGGACCTGGTCGCAGAGGAGGAAGCACCAGCGCAGTTCTCTTTACCCCGCTGGGAGGCCTCAGCGGCACAGCCCGTGGGGAGCGGCCCCCGGCAGGGCGACCTCCCACGGCAGGGGCACCATGGCCACCATCCAGTCGGAGACCGACTGTTATGACATCATCGAGGTGCTGGGCAAAGGCACCTTCGGGGAGGTGGCCAAGGGCTGGCGGCGCAGCACGGGTGAGATGGTGGCCATCAAGATCCTCAAGAATGACGCCTGCCGCAACCGCATCATCAAGAACGAGCTGAAGCTGCTGCGCTGCATGCGGGGCCTGGACCCCGAGGAGGCCCACGTCATCCGCTTCCTTGAGTTCTTCCATGACGCCCTCAAGTTCTACCTGGTCTTCGAGCTGCTGGAGCAGAACCTCTTTGAGTTCCAGAAGGAGAACAACTTCGCGCCCCTGCCCGCCCGCCACATCCGCACGGTCACCCTGCAGGTGCTCCGGGCCCTGGCCCGGCTCAAGGAGCTGGCGATCATCCACGCCGACCTCAAGCCCGAGAACATCATGCTGGTGGACCAGACGCGCTGCCCCTTCAGGGTCAAGGTCGGTGTGGCTGCGCCCCCCTGCCCCTGCCGGGGTCTCCTCCAGACGCTCTTCTCCTTCTTAAAGACTTATCTGAGAGACAGAGAGTCACAGAGAGGGAGAGACAGAGAGAGAGAGAGAGAGAGAGAGATCTTCTATCTGCTGGTTCTCTCCTCAAACGGCCCACAACAGCTGGGCTGGGTCAGGACAAAGCCAGGAGCCATGAACTCCATTTGGGTCTCCCACATGGGTGGCAGGGGCCCAGGGACTTGGGTCACCCTCTGTTGCTGCTTTCCCAGGCCCATCAGCAGGGAGCTGGATTGCAAGTGGAGCAGCCGAGACTTGAACCGGTGCTCATATGGGCTGCCGGCATCACAGGGGGCACCTTAACCTGCTACGCCACAGTGTCAGCTCCGCCTCCCCACCCTGACGCTCTTCTGGTATCTCCCTCCTCCGACTTCCCAGCCCCCGGGGTCACCCCAAACCCATCCCCGCATCCTGACCCTGGAATCCGTGCCCCTACCCGCTTCCTCATCCGCTCCTGCCATCCTCATCAGCCTGACCTGAGGTCTCCCCTTCCTGCTCCATTCTCAGTCCTGGCCCCCTGGGCAAGTCCTGTCCTTGGGAGTTGGGGGATAGGGGGTGGCGATCGATCAGGGCCTAGACAGAATCGCAGGCACCTTTGAGTGGATGGGCAGTGGTGAGGAATGATATTGTAGAGGCCTTGGTCAGGGAGGCCCCCCGAGAAGGTGAGATTTGAGCCAAGTCCTGAAGGAGGCAGTGAGCCAAGTGCACATCTGGGGGTGGAGCGCGCAGGTGGCAGGAGCTGCCCACGCAAAGGCCCTGAGGTGGGAGCGAGCTGAGGGTGTGTGTCTGGGAGCACAGAGGAGGCTGTGTGGCTGACGCGGAATGAACAGGTGCAGAGAGGGGAAATGAGATGGAGGAGGTGAGGGGGCCGGGTTGTGCCGGACCCCGGTGGCCATGACGAGGACCCTGGCTTTACACTAAGGAAGATGGAGCCACAGAGCATTCTGGGCAGAGAAGGGGCGTGACCTGGCCCCCTCCGGCTGTGGGTGGACTAGCCCAGGGGACTGGGGAGGAGGGAGACAGTGGGGTGTCAGTGCGGGTCCCCCTGGGAGACGTGGGTAGACTTTGGAAACAGAGACAGCAGCACTTGTGGGAGGAGGGGTGAGAGGGGAGGACAGGCCTCGGTAGAAAGGCAGGGCAGCTGGCTGAGGGAGGCTGGCGTGGCTGTCCCCCTCACAGCCGGTCTGTCCCCGTCACCATCAGTCTGTCCACATCACAGTGTGTCTATCAGTGGGCTTCACTGGATGCCTGCTCTCACCCGACCCTGCCCACCCGGGCACCTTCTCTGCACGGTCAACAGCCCCTGGACTCTCTGTTCTCAGGCCCAGCCTGCTGCCCCTGGGTCCCCATCCCATCCCAGCCTGTCTCCTCTGGCTGCTTAGGGGAGCACGCAGAGGGCAGGGCCTGGGGCAGTCGTGGAGTCCACACTCAGTGAATGTCTGAGACACAGAGTTAGAGGCAGGAGCCGACAGACAGTTCTGCCCCAAGAGACAGACGGGACCTGCATCGTGGCGTGGTGGGTTAAGCCACCACTTGTACGCCGGCATCCCACATGAGCGCTGGTTTGAGTCCCAGCTGCTCCACTTCTGATCCAGCTTCCTGCTAATGCACCTGGGAAGGCAGAGGAAGATGGCCCAAGTCCTTGGGCCTCTGCACCCACATGGGAGACCCAGAAGCAGCTCCTGGCTCCTGGTTTTGGCTTCCCCCAGCCCCCGTCATTGCAGCTTTGTTGTAAGGACTTTGGCTTTTCTTCTTCTTCTTTTAAACTGTCAGAGCTGCGTCGATGGCCCTCTGCATGCCCGGTGTCTTTTTCTCCCCGGAGGCAGAGTGGACAGTGAGAGAGAGAGACAGAGAGAAAGGTCTTCCTTTTCCGTTGGTTCACCCCCCAATGGCCACTGCGACCGATGCACCACACTAATCTGAAGCCAGGAGCCAGGTGCTTCTCCTGGTCTCCCATGCGGGTGCAGGGCCCAAGCACTTGGGCCATCCTCCACTGCACTCCTGGGCCATAGCAGAGAGCTGGACTGGAAGAGGAGCAACTGGGACAGAATCCGGCACCCTGACCAGGACTAGAACCCAGTGTGCCGGTGCCACAGGCGGAGAATTAGCCTATTGAGCTACGGTGGCACCTAGAGCTACCTTTTTAAAAGTTATTTATTTGAAAGGTGGAGAGAGAGAGAGAGAGAGAGAGAGATCACTTCTACCCACTGGTTCGCTCCCCCCTAATAGCTACACATCTGGGGCTGGGCCAGGCCATAGCCAGGAGCCTGGAACTCCGTCCAGGTCTCCCACACGGGTGCCAGGGGCCCAGGCACTTGGGCCATTGTCTGCTGCCTCCTAAGCGCATCAGCAGAGAGCTGGATAAGAATTGCAGAGCAGCTGGGACTCAAACCAGGATCTCCAGTATGGAACCTGGGACATCCCAAGCAGCTTCTTGACTTGCTATGCCACAGTACCCACTCCACGACAAAATATTTTATTTCTTTATTTTAAAGACAGAGAGACAAACACTGGTTTACTCTTCAAATACCCACAGCAGCCAGAGCTGGGCCAGGCCATAGCCAGGAGACTGGAACTCTGTCCAGGTCTCCCCCGTGAGTGGCAGGGGCCCAAGCACTTGAGCCATCACCAATGCTATCACCAACGTGTAGGCTATGACCCGCGGTGCACTGGCTGGAAGCTGGAATTGGGAACGGCGCCGGGGGTTCAAGCCGAGGCCCTCCACCTAGGAGGGGCAATGCAAGTGACATTCTTTTATTTTTTTTCAATATTTATTTATTTACTTATTTGAGGGAGAGAGTTACAGACAGAGAGAGGGAGAGACAGAGAGGTCTTCCATCCGCTGGTTCACTCCCCAAATGGCCACAATGGCCAGAGCTAGGCTGACCTGAAGCCAGGGGCCAGGTGCTTCCTCCTGGTCTCCCACGTGGGTGCAGGGGCCCAAGGACTTAGGCCATCTCCTGCTGCTTTCCCAGGTGCATTAGCAGAGAGCTGGATTGGAAGTGGAGCAGCCAGGGCACGAACAGGCGCCCTTATGGGATGCCGGCGCTGCAGGTGGAGGCTCAGCCCACAACGCCTGCAGATGGCATTGTGACAGCATCGCCTGCCCCAGGGCTGCTTTGCCTCCCCTCACAGGGTGTGCATGTGAGCAGGGGAGGGACAGCAAGGAGGCCCCTGTGCCACTCGGGACAGGGACAGCGGGGGCGGAAGGACCTAACTCTCCTAAATTCCAGCACAGACAGACAGACAGACGGAAGAGGCCAGACGCTCAAAGCAGGGATGGAGCTAGGGGCCTAACAAGAGAGGAAGATTCCCAGAGCTGGCCAGGTGTCAGGTGCCGGGGAAGACCAGGTGGGCCGCCCCCCGCACTCAAGCCGCTGGCGCCCCATCTCCCCCGCCAGGTGATCGACTTCGGCTCGGCCAGCATCTTCAGCGAGGTGCGCTACGTGAAGGAGCCCTACATCCAGTCGCGCTTCTACCGGGCCCCCGAGATCCTGCTCGGGCTGCCCTTCTGCGAGAAGGTGGATGTGTGGTCCCTGGGGTGCGTCATGGCCGAGCTGCACCTGGGCTGGCCCCTGTACCCGGGCAACAACGAGTACGACCAGGTGCGCTACATCTGTGAGACCCAGGGCCTGCCCAAGCCGCACCTGCTGCACGCCGCCCGCAAGGCCCACCACTTCTTCAAGCGCAGCGCCCACCCTGACGCCACCAACCCCTGGCAGCTCAAGTCCTCGGCTGACTACCTGGCCGAGACCAAGGTAGGGAGGCAGGCGGGGGTGGGGGGGCTGATGCAGCAGGAACGGCAGGGTTAGACCCGCAAGCCTGAGCGTCAGCTCTGGGGCTTTGCTGCAGCAAGAGGGATGTGAGGGAGACAGCCCGGAGGACTGGAAGTGTGTGTGTGGAGGGGGGTCAGTTGCAGGGGCTGCCATGGCAACAGGGGTCCAGGTTGTGGCACAAGCGTGACAGGACAGTAGGGCAGCTGCTCTTCGGCCAGCCTCAGTTCCGAGGTCAGCAACTCGTGCAGCATGAGGGATTTGAGTTAGACAGCAGAGGGGACAGGGAATTGGACAGCATGGTTTCCCAGCAAGGGGTGTCTGGGTTCGCCACAGGGAGGCCAGGGCAGGGCTGGGTTCAAGTGTGGAGGCTGTGGCGGCAAAGAGGGATCTGACTTGGATTCCACGCAGCCCTCGAAGTCAGCGCAACCCCTCTGTCTCTGCTGGCCGCTGGCAGGGGGCGAACTGACCTAGGCACGCCCTGGGGCCACGTCAAAGAGGGCTCTGGATGCAGGAGGACCCATCCTGCCACAGCAGGGGGCTCCAGATTAGATGGTGGGGGGAGATGGGCTGTGGTCCTCCCAGCAGCCGGGGAGCCCCCCGCGAGATCACAGGCAGAGCCCCAGACGGGCCCGAGCGCCAACCCCGTGGCCCTGCCCCACCAGGTGCGCCCTCTGGAGCGCCGCAAGTACATGCTCAAGTCCCTGGACCAGATCGAGACGGTGAACGGCGGCGGGGCTGCCGGCCGGCTGAGCTTCCCGGACCGCGAGGCGCTGGCCGAGCTCGCCGACCTCAAGAGCATGGTGGAGCTGATCAAGCGCATGCTGACGTGGGAGTCCCATGAGCGCATCAGCCCCAGCTCAGCCCTGCGCCACCCCTTCGTGTCCATGCAGCAGCTGCGCAGCGCCCACGAGACCACCCGCTACTACCAGCTGTCACTGCGCAGCCGCCGCCTCTCCCTGCAGGGGGAGGGCAAGCCGCCCCCGCCGGTGGTGGCCGCTGCCGAGGAGGGGCCCCCCTACTACCGCCTGGCTGAGGAGGAGGAGGCCGTGGGCATGGGCGGTGTGGCCAGCAGCGGGACCTTCTTCCGGGAGGAAAAGGCACCGGGCATGCAGAGGGCCATCGACCAGCTGGATGACCTGAGTCTGCAGGAGGCGGGACGCGGGCTGTGGGGCGAGAGCCACGCCGACGTGGTCTCCGATATGCTGGCCCCACTCAAGGCCGCCACCGCCGGCTGCCACGTGCCCGACTCGGGCCCCGAGCCCATCCTGGCTTTCTACGGCAGCCGCCTGGCAAGCCGCCACAAGGCCCGCAAGCCGCCCGTAGGCTCCAAGTCCGACTCCAGCTTCAGCAACCTCATCCGCCTGAGCCAGGCCTCCCCCGAGGAGGACGGGCCCTGCCGGGGCAGTGGCTGGGAGGAGGGAGAGCACCAAGGGGCCTCGCTGGAGCCGCCCGCCATCCTGCAGCGGGACGGGGACGGACCCAGCCTCAAGGACATGACCGTGGACGCCGAGGTGAGCCGCAGCACGTGGCCCCGGTGCACGCAGGTGCTTCCAGGACCAGGGCCGCCCGCCCCCAGAGCTCACTCACACGGCCGCGCTGCCTGCAGCCGGCTCAGGGCCCAGCACACAGGCACCCACGTTCAGGCTACAGAGTTCCGTGCCCACTGTCCTACCCTCACTACATGATGCCCCAGCCTACCGGACAGCCTACCCCAGCCTGACGGACAGAAGACCTGACCAGGCTCAGCACACGCTAACTTACCTGCAGCTGTGCAAACACTGGGGACACAGTTATCACCTGTAAGAAGGGACAGGGCCTTAGCACAGGTGCACCCACGAGGCCCGGCACACGGGAACACCTGTCAGCTGATGCCCCTCTCTGCTCTTCGCCCACAGAGGTCAAGCCCTGAGCTCTTCGATCCCGGCAGCTGTCCTGGAGAGTGGCTGAGTGAGACAGACTGGACGCTGGAAGGCATCAGGGGACCACGGGCCCAGGGGCTGCCGCCCCGCCACAGCCACCAGCATGGCCCGCCCCGGGCCACCAGTTTCCTGCAGCATGTTGGCGGGCACCACTGATGGGGACCCCCTGGCCCTGCCCCACACCGGGGGCTGCGCTAGCTGGGCTGGCCTCCCCTCTCCACCCAAACCGCACCCGAGAGCCTTCCCCTGAACTCACGAATTATTCTTACACAAAGAAAGTTTCCCAGAATGTCCCTGTCGCCCCTGCCCACAGCGCATACCTGCACACAACCCCCAAGCATGGTGGGGGCCTTGGCGCCTGGCCCACGGCCCCCTCAGCCAGAGGGCTGGCAGGAAGGGGGCTGTACCCTGTTGGCCACGAGCCTGCCCCCAGCCGCCTCTGCCGATTTCAATAAAGAACTGTTCTGCAGTCCAGCCTCGGGCCTGTCCTCACTGCCCCAGGCCTGGGCTGGCCCAGCAGGGGGCTCCAGACCTGCCCCTGGAGCTGGCTCTATGGTGGTGTGCCCAGGTGGCCACTGGCTCAGGCTGGAGCCTGGGCTGCTACCGCAGTAGGAGGCAGCAGCCACACTAACCTGTCCCTGAAATACGCTGAGCGCTTGACATGCCTAGAACATTCCACGTGTTCAGCACATGTTCCACTGAGCTAGCCAGATGCTGAGGTCTCACTGTTGACTTCCTCCATGTCATGGGCTTGGCATGCACGCATCATCCATGCTCCGGTCACGCTAAGGACATGCTAATTGTCAATTCACGCTTGGCACGGGTTCCCCGGCTCCGACACAACGGCCCGCCCTAGGGATACTGTGAGAATGTGCTTCCCGGGCAGCCTGTCCTACCCCATGCCGGCTACCCGCGTGCTCAGTGCATGCCAGCCCGTGTGCGTAACAAGACGAGGGCTCAGTACGTGCTGACCATGGGCTGAGGGCTCAGTACAGGCACGAGACCATACACGGAAAAGGCTCAGCACGCACCAACATTGCTCACGCGCTGAGGGCTCAGTCCATGAGGACCACATGGTGAAGGCTCAGTATACACCAAGCCACAGTGCTCACACGCTAGGGTGTCCCCACCAGAGGCCCAGGCCAGCTGTCCGTGACCCACATCTCACACCACTCAGGCAGTACGGACGAGTTATTTACTTAAGATAATCACAGGCCCTCTTGGTCCTGAAAGGGGGTGGGTGGGGTGGGAGCTGGGCCCAGCATGCACCCCCCACTGCTTCGGGGGCCGATCCCTCCCCCAGCCCGCTGGGTGCTGGGGCCACGGGGGCGGAGGTCCAGGCAGGAGCGCAGGGAGAGCCTGTGGGGCCACACCAGGGCAGACGGAAGCAGGAGCAGGGGCGCAGGGGCCGGGGCATCAGAGCAGGCGGCAGGCGTTGCCCACGCTGTCAGCCTGGGCGCTGAGGTCGTGGCTGTACGGGGACTCCCAGTCCCGCAGGAAGACGGCCTCGAGCTGGCTCCGCAGGCCGCCCCGGCCGTTCTGCGTCAGCAGCAGCGAGGCGCCCGCCGTCTCCGTGAAATAGCTGCCAGACCAGTTGGAGGTTCCTGCGGAGGAGGGGGCGCGCGGTGAGGGTCCCCCGGGAGGCCGAGCCCTGCTGCCCGCACGCCCCGCCCTGCCCCGGCACTCACCGATGTAGCTGGCGCGTTCGGTCACCATGTACTTGTTGTGGTTGACGCGGGCATAGGGGATGCGGGCCTGGGCCTCGTCCGCGGGGACAACAAAGAGTTTCTGAGGGGCAGGGCGGACAGGAAGGAGCCTGAGATGCGGGCAGGGGTGGAGGCGGCGGTGCAGCCAGCTCCCACGGGGCCCTTGGGGCAGAGCAGGGCCCAGCGGAGAGGGCGCCCCGTAAATGGTGGCGGAAGGGGGGCCCTGCAGCCGTGAGAATGAGCTGTCCCCTGCGAAGGTCTCGCCCCCACGTCTGCTTTTCCAGGAAAGTCTGTATGTAGGGCAGGCTATGTAGGGCGGGTGCTTCCTCAGTGTCCCGCCCCAGCCCCTGGCTTCCCCTTCAAGGCTCCGCCCACTCTGGTCCCCCCCCTCCAGATCACACCTGAGCTCCAGGAGGACTTCGGGCTGTTCTGCCCCCGCCCCAGGGGCGTGGGGCGGGGCTTACCACCTGGATGTCCGAGTGGGTGTGGTTATCGCGCAGGGCAGCCAGGGAGAGCAGGAAGGCGCGCATGGCCGGCTCCGAGTGTCCCCAGCAGCTGACCAGCAGGCGCACCTTGACGTTGCGCTCGTAGGCGGCCCGCCGCAGCCCGTCGTCGATGGCCGGCCAGAACCTGGGCGGGGCGCAGGGCACGGCTTCGCCCTCGGCTCTGGGGACCCACACCTGGGCGCTGGTGTAGCTCCTGAGCACCGCCCCCTCCACTGTACTTGCTCCCAGGCCCACATCCCCTCCCTCCTGTCCCGGCGGCTGCTTCTGCCCCCCACGCCCAGTCTCCGCAAGCCCGGAGCCCAGTCACCCCTTCTTATCCCAGCCCTGCTGCCCCACCCCCACATCCCCGTTCTACCCCTTGCCTCCTACTTCCCCAGCCCCCTGTCCCACATGTCCAGCCTCGGGCCCCAGGCCCCAGGCCCGTGTCCTTATTCCTTTCTGTCCCCTCTTAGCTCCCCCTCCCTTGTGAAGTGCCCTGACCCGTCACCTCCCTGCCCTCCCACATGCCCTTGTCTCGGCCCCTGCCTGCCCTGCCAGCCCCTTCAACTGTCTCCCGCCTGCTGTCCGCTCTGCCAGCCCGTCTGCCCAGCAGTACCTGCGTGGGTGGGAGAACTCCATGGTGGGCAGGTAGTTCATGACCGCGATGTAGATGAAGCTCCGGGCACTGTCCACCACATTCAGCAGAGCCTTCAGGTCTGGGGTGCGGCCACTCGGACACAGCGGCGGGGGCGCGCTCTGGGGGTGAGGGGACAGTCAAGACACGCGCCCGGGGCCGGCATTGTGGTGCAATGCCGGCACCCCGTATTTGGGCACTGGTTCCAGCTTCTTCTTTTTTTATTTTTATTTTTTTGACAGGCAGAGTGGACAGTGAGAGAGAGAGAGACAGAGAGAAAGGTCTTCCTTTTGCCGTTGGTTCACCCTCCAATGGCTGCCACGGCTGGTGCGCTGCGGCTGGTGCACCGCGCTGATCCGAAGGCAGGAGCCAGGTACTTCTCCTGGTCTCCCATGGGGTGCAGGGCCCAAGCACTTGGGCCATCCTCCACTGCACTCCCTGGCCACAGCAGAGAGCTGGCCTGGAAGAGGGGCAATCGGGACAGAATCCGGCGCCCCGACCGGGACTAGAACCCGGTGTGCCGGCGCCGCAAGGCGGAGGATTAGCCTAGTGAGCCGCGGCGCCGGCCTCCAGCTTCTTCTGACCCAGCTCTCTGCTGAAACACCTGGGCAAGTGGTGAAACATGGGCTGAGTACTTGGCACCTGCCACCCACATGGGACAGCAGGATGGGGTCCCTGGTTCCTGGCTTCCGTCTGGCTCAGACCTGGTCATTTTGGTCATTTGGGGAGTGAACTAGCAAATGGAAGGTCTCTCTCTCTGTCACTCTACCTTTCAAATATATAAATCTTAAAAAAAAAAAAAAAAAAAAAAAAGGCCACATGCCAGGGGAGTTGTCATGGTTGACCCCGCTAAGGGAAGGGATGACCACAGCTATTTTGCAGATGACGAAACAGCTCAGAGAGGGTAAGCAGCTCGCCTAAGGCCACACAGCTGATAAATGGAGCCCAGATGTGAGCCCAGGCTCTGGGGTTCCAGGATTTTGCTCTCCACCACATTTTTCAGCCTCTGGTCCCTGTCCAGCGGCTACAGCATCACTGGAGAGCTTGTTAAAAAAAAAAAAAAAAAATTATCTACTCTCCAGGAGCTGCAGCCCACTCATTCTTAGTTCTAGGCAAACTCTGGGGCCTCACAGCGCAGGGCACCCTGACTTAAAGCTGGCCTGGGGCCTGGGGCCTGGGGCCTGGGACCAGCGTTTTAGTTTTTTTTTTTTTAGATTAATCTATTTTATTTGAAAGGCGAAGTTCCATAGTGAGAGAGAGACAGAGACAGCTTTTCCATCCACTAGTTCACTCCTCAAATGGCCTCAGCAGCCAGGGCTGGGGCTGGGCCCGGCCGAAGCCAGAAGCCAGAAGCTTCATCCAGGTCTCCCACTTGGGTGGCAGAGGCCCAGCCAAGTACCTGGGCCATCTTCTGCTGCTTTCCCGAGTACATTAGCAGGGAGCTGGATCAGAAGTGGAGCAGCCGGGACTTGAGCCGGTGCCCACATTGGGAAGCTGGTGTCACAGACACAGGCGTTACCCGCTGGGCCACAGCGCCAGGTTTCTAAGCAGGCGTCCGGGCACTTCTGAGGCCCTGCTTAGAGGCTTTGGGCTCTGGATCTGCGCTCTCCCCGCCTTGCCCTCCTCGTGTGCCCAGTGCCACAGCAGGCTCCCTGCCCAGCTCCTTAGTCCTCAGACACACGGGACACTGGTGACCGAGTAAGGAAGCTGTTATTCAGTCGACGGAGCCACCAGGGCTAGAGTGCCTGACCCCAGCCGCACTGGGGCCTCACGAGGGTCAAAATATTAACACACCCACTTCCTAGATGAAACCGAGGCCAGGGGAGACTGGTGAGGACACCCCCACCCCCAGGCCCCAGGCAGAGCTCGGTGGAGCCCACGCGTGACGGTGCGTGGGCAGGGCGTGCACGGCGGGCTGGCCCACTGCCCCCGGACTCACTGCCAGGTAGGCCAGGGCAGGGGTCCCGTTGAGGCAGATCTCCATCGGGGTCTCTTGGTTGTAGCGGGTGTCGTAGGGCCGGGGCCAGGTCGATGGGATGGAGCTGCCTGCCTGGCCCAGGAACCAGTAGGCCTCAAAGATCTTGGTGAGGTCGCGAGCCAGGCAGCTGCAGTTGTACAGGACCACGCCCAGTTCCTTCACCTGTGGGAGGGGGCACGGCAGTCAGGCCTCTCCGTCCCCCTCCCCAGCAACCCAGCACAGACACGACCTTGACTCAAGTCCTGGTTGAGAGTCAAGCAGCCCTTCCCAAGCCCCAGGGTTCCTGAACCTGCGCACTTGCTGTGTGTATCTACCTTGCAGGAGCAGCAGCCTAAACATTCTTAGTTCTAGGCTGACGTGTTTCCTCCTCCATGAAGCCTGCCTGGATCTCCCAGACCCTGCCAGGCATTCCCCTGGGCTATCAGAGTCCCTGGGGCTTCCCTCACATTGTTCTCTCTGGTGACAAACCTGCCTCCCCATAGGGCTGGGAGGACAGGCACCAGGGATGTGTCAGTCACCTCGCAGCATCACCGGTGAGATTCGGGGTCTGGGGGAAATAGCTAAGGGAGGGAATGAATGAATGAATGAACGAACCTTCACATCACTGCCTAGGTTGCTCACCATCACCTCCTCTGGGCTTCCAGTCCTCCACGCCTCCCCCATCCC